AAACATTTGAAGCGCGTCCCAAAATGGGAACTAGCTACCGCTCTACCGCTCTGTTTTCAAAGTAGTGAAAGAAATACTTAGCAAGATGCCGTATAGCAATAACGTATAGACCGTGGATTTGACGTGTAAAGGTAACATTTGATTACCGGCCATTTTTGAAGAGAATGATAACAAAAAGAACTACTCTTTCAGAGACAGCAGATAAGTTTTCTTTTCAGATAAGTTTCTGATAAGATTTTTTCCCAGTCACTACATTGGTTGATGACGTAACAGGTGAAGTTAATGAGAGTGGATGGGCCGACACCAGAGAGAAAGGACTTCACCAAGTTATTTGATATTATTTCACATGGTAAACCCGTTGAGAAATTACGTGTTTGGGTATTTCCAGTAAAATGGTGGCGTAGATTAATGAACTATTTCCAAATGCACAGAAAGTTCGATTTGGGCAATTTTAATTTTTAGGTGTTTCAGACTACGTGTTTCTATTCAATCTTTCATCTATCTCTTAACTGAATTTTTTAAATTTCTTCATTTCTGGTGAGGTTCATTCTTAGGTACTATAATTTGAGTCTTACAAAATAATTTTCAAAATCATTAATTTACCTATTTCCTTTTATTTTCCCCGTTCCTAATTCATGTTTCAGTTACATTTTGTACGATAATGCAGTACTCGAAAAGGTTGTTGTTTTTTTGTATTCCAGCATTATAAACGACCTTTCTCCGTTACAAGAAATCGTTCATAAAAGGATATCTTGTGGCACAGATAATGATTCATTTACCGTTTATGCCACGAATAATTGCGTGGTTTCAGCACATTCAGCCAATTTCAGCGAGAGACTCGTGGGCAGGTAGCTCTAAACCGAACAGTCGACCACCGATTTTTTGCACAGATGTCAAATACCTGTGACAACAAAATTGTTTCCCCAAATTAACTTTGATTCTCTTATAAATTTGTAATGCTGTTATACAAAAAAATAGAGCAATTACCTCGTTTGTAATGTTGCGCTATTGTATTCGTACAAATATGAAAACTCGCCGACATTACTCGATCGTTTTCAAAACACCCACTCGTGCAATAAAGCTTAACATTACAAACAAGTAGAGAGTTGTACTTTCTAGTGACTTCCCTCACGTACATACCATTTGAGAGTGTATCTTTTCTGAAAATTTCTTTCTTTATTTATTATTCCTCCAAAGTATTTGCTGGCAAGTCTTTGAATTTGCCGATGACTACAGAAGGGGTTGGGGCAGGTAGTCCTACGTCACTTCAAAATATAATCGAGTTACAGGAGAAAATGCATATCTTTCCCGGACTATGACTATAAAAAATCTTAACTGTATTACTCTGCCATTGATTGACAGACTGAGAGAAACTGGGAGACAATGGTCATTTAGACAGCAATGCAGTAGAGCCTCGCTAATCTGAGATTCCGTGCAATCCGAGAGGGCCTGATGTGCGCCAAATCACCAAACATGCGAACTCCGGCTAAAGTCAAAAACTGACTCTTGCCGAGTTGACACTGCGTGGAAGGGCACGTGTCAGTTTGTCTGCTACATTGTTATGATAGGTCATTGTGCGCATGTATCTGTAATGTTAATGATAACAGCGCATTAAATTTTACTACGTTTTTCATTGCAAATTGAAAATGAAGTTCTCTACTTTACTTTTTTCGTGTAATCCGAGTTTGTTTTTATTTTGAGGTACCATTAGGCCCAAGATACCATTCGGAGGTATCATTCGGATTATCGCAACTCTACTGCAACGCAACATTTTCGCCAGTGTGGCGCAGGGCTAACCGGCGCCAAGCCCTTCAGGCGCATCGCAGGGCGTAACACGGGCGCGTGGACGCACGCGCAGGCCGAGTGCGTGCTGTGGCAGGTGGCGTCGGAGGCCGAGCTGGCGGGCGGCGTGCTGGGGCCCGCGGCGACGGTGGCGTCGGCGTCGCCCCCGCTGACGGCGGGGCCCGGGGCGCACCTGCTGGACCGCGACGTGCCCGTGACGACGGCGGCGTCGGCGTGCGCCTCGCCGCCCCCGCCCTCCGCCGCTGGCGCCGGCGCCGTCGCCGTCGCCGCCTCCGCGCTCGACTACGACATCCCGCTGTCGGGCGTCACCACGGTGCCCATCACCCTCATGCGCCAGCAGCCGCTCAAGCCGCAGCAGTTGCACCCGCCGGTGAGCGCTCGCCACTATTTCAACACAATAATACTTGAGCTCATTTCATATGTCGGAGAACAGTAAAAGGGTCGCGGCAGCGTAGTGATTAGGGCACACGCTAGCTAACACGAGGAACCTGGATTCAAATCCCCGCTTATCTGGGGATTTGTATCCGTGATGACCTATTCAGTGTGGTCCTATGGTTCACGCAGCCTGCTTTCCAAACGATTACTAATATTTACTAGCTTTATTAACAGTAAATATCAGGTAAAACGTGTATGGTTGAAGCATAACGCTTACCACGCGAACTTCACCCCTGTTTTAGACAAATAACCAACTGAGGTTCCCGTTACATTCGTTGTACAGTGTGTCAGGAAATTGGGGAGAAACCGGAAAGACGACTGAATTAAGAGGATTTCTAACATCTTCTACCCCTAAACTGTATGTGTAAGGGTTAATATCGTTTCTTTAGTTCAAATTTTAATTTTACATAGAAAATTAAAATTCTTACTAAACAATTCAAAGCTTAGTTTTAAATTAAATTCCAATTGACCTTTGACTTTCTCTATTTACATAAACAACTGTCTGTGCAACGCATATTTTTGGGAAGATATATGTCACGAATCTTCAAGGTGCATCACACTCGGGTCATCGTCGTAATTTACCCAGTGTTTAATTCACGAATTAGCCGAATGATGTCCGAGATGTGAGGATCTTCGACATTTACATACCTTTACCCAAACCGTTCTAATATGCGAATTAACCGGCTAATTCGGGAAATAACCATATTTAGAACCTTTAATCTATAATATATAGAAGTACGAATTGATATAAATGAGAAGTGAGCTGATGCCATCGTGCTTTGCAGTTGGCGCCGCAGCAGTCACCGCTGGCGCACGCGCATCAGCTGGGGCACACGGGGCTGTCGTCGGCGGCGCTGGCGGCGGCGGCAGCGGCGGCGGTGGTCAACGACCCGTCGGCGCCTCCGCCCACGCCCACGCCCTTCCTCTTCGCGCAGCAGTTGCAGCAGCACCAGCAGCGCTTCGGCATGGCCGGGGCGGGGGCGGGGCCCGGCGGCGGGGGCGCGGGCNNNCCACCCGCCCGTCAAGTTCGCCACGCTGCAGCCCGCGCGCCGCGCCAAGCCCTCCGTCAGCTCCTTCGGCGCGCTCGAGCAGTACGACAGCCCGCGCGGCGGACCGCCCGCCGTCTGGAGCAGCAGCGAGGTACGCACGCACGTTTTCGCCATATGCGAGCTCCCTAGTCCTTGCCTAGCCCTGAATAGGAAGGCCCGTTGCGATACTTATGTACGACTCGGAGTCACACGAACAATTCTGCCAACATCCACCTCTTACCTTCATAAATATTCGTATTTCTCGAGCCACGCTTTGACGCGATGAGTTCATACCAACCGTTGGTATACCCTTGTAAGTTGTGATGTAGGAAAAGTCCTCCTTTCCCCGCACCCCCCTCTGTGGGAATACCAAGAAAATGTGCACGTGTACGTGCGCGAGCACATTCGCACAAACATTAAACACACAAAATCACTAGCACACACACAGAGATGCACCAACACTACCGCTCAAGCACACACTTACACCCACAAACTCACTAATAGGCATATTACTTACTCAGTCACACCCACTCACACCCACTCACACCTACTCACACCCACTCACACCCACTCACACCCACTCACACCCACTCACACCCACTCACACCCACTCACACTCACTCAGACCCACTCCGACAAGCACATCGTAAATACTGTGTGCGCCAGGCATTTAAAGCTCGACCACTTAAAAAAACTGGACTGCGCATGGAAAAATGGCGTAGGGGAAGATTCCTTCTCTTAGAGGCTCAACTTCCCCGCCTCGAGGAGTCACCGCCGCCGCCGCCTCGGTCTGGACGGGCGGGGAGACGGCAGCCTGGCCTGGACGAAAGGCCCGAAGGCTAGTGTTGAAGCGTGAAAACTCAGTTGCAAGAGCAAATCAGTTATCATTGCAGGCGGTCCTTGAGTGCAACTGAATTCCCCTTTGGGAACAGCGGGGAACTTCGGAAATAGCTTAGCCTCCCGCGGCCTCCCTCAATACCTCGACGCGCGGAGTGCGAAGCGAGGACACCACACGCGGACCTATACCCATTCGTACAAACAAAAAAGTATACAAGCTCGCAAAATCACAACCAGAGACGCACAAATACACACACAAGCACACTAACACCCGCTCACTAACATAAATGACACTAACAAAGGTTCCTCTAGTAACTTGATTTGATTTTTAGAAAACACGGATTCCACGGATTAAAGACGGTTTGATTTTTACATAAAAAAATATTTAAAATGAAATTAAAGAAAAAGTTCTAACATATAACTTATAAGTTCCTTAAAAAATTTTATATAATTTAGAATTCAACTAAGAGATCATCAAATGTTCGTAATCTGTGTTTCTTAAACGATCTTTCAATATTTTCCTGTTAATATAATCATAGTTTCTTATTAATTTCTCAACTAACTTGTAAATACAAATTCTTATTTATTCTTTTACAGATGTGTAATGGACTTTTTTTTACTTGACAAGTACATTTCCTAAACATAAACCTTAGTACTTGATGATATTGATAGCAAAGCGAGTTGCCGAAACGTTGTACGATGATGACAAATAAGCATATAACTTTTTTTTATTTTATTTATTATATTATATGCGTAAAAAGCACAACCATCTTTAATATAGCGGGATTTCTGGTTTTTTGAAATTAAGTCTAAATGCTTCCGTTATGTATGTATTGTACAAGTCATAAGTATAGTGTGATAGCATCATGGAATAAATGTTCGTGTGTGTGTGTTTAGGTATGACGCCCCGCCTCCTAGCGGTCATTTCCCGCCGTCGTCGCTCCCGTGCCGCCTCCGGCGCTGCCACCCGGCCCGGCCTCGCCCCCGGTCCTCCGTGAAGACGAGACGCGCCTCTGAGGGTCTGTGCAGACGATGGCAAACGAAGCCACCCGAGCGCGCTCGACAACGCCCGAAGGCACCCGAACGCCCACGACGGCGTCCGAAAGCACCCGAACACGCACGACGGCGCCCGAAGGCACATAAACGCCCACGACGGCGCCCGAAGGCACCCGAACACGCACGACGGCGCCCGAAGGTACCCGAACGCGCTCGACGGCGGCGGAAGGCACCCGAAAGCGCCGGAAAGCGCTCGACGGCATCCGAAGACAATTGTAGGCACACAAACGCGCCCGATGGCGCACGAAGGCACTCGAAGCCATCTCTCAGGAACGGGACGCTGTTGTGAATGACTTTTCTGCATATTTATTACAAGTTTTGTGGTAATGATGGTGGTGGTGATAATGATTATGACAGTGATCGTGTTATTAGACGACGAGAATGTAAAAAATGAAAACAATATTGGTTTTGTATTATCCTTTTTGTGCTCGATTTTGGTTTAAATACATTGTATTACGATTTCTGGCATTAATTTTGTAATTCAATTTGTTCCATCGTAACTGGTTTGGAAGTGCGATTTATCATTGATCAACTTATGATGTGATCTCAAAAATATTTCCGAAATAATCACACAATGTAAGCATATTTGTTGTTCAATAATTTGATTCATTTTGCTTCAAATATCTACCCAGGAATCTTTGTTGTCAGTGGTCCCAAGGACAATTGCAATGTTTCAATAAATGTGAAATAGCTTTATGTCTGTAAATGCAAATGGATGCCAAACATTTTCGTGGTAAACATGTACAGTTGTGCAATGTTTCAAAGCAGAATATTATGTTCATAAACTTAAGTTTAACTCTTCAAATTGATTGAGAAATATTGTCGATATTGGAAATTTTTACAAATATACCAAGATCATGTCGTCCACGATGTTTATATTAACTTTTCAATATTTTACAACCAAAAGAAATTTATCCTTTCTCACTCCCCATTCCCTGAATCCTCTAATAGCTCTTTTGGGGGAGTTAAGTATTGTATTAGCGTGTTTTAAGCATTATCTCTTAAAAGAAATGCGTCTTTTAGATTATAAAGAGATCTTCATTTTTATTCTCTTTAATAAATGTAGCTCTTCTCCCAACTTTGTCAGTCATACAGATTTTTTTTGACGAAACAAGATAACAGACAGTAATTTTATCATTTCAAAGGCAACCCAAATTGGTCCACTGTGAGTGGATCCTATCAAAAAACCGAGGAAAAGTCAGGGAAATTTGTTCCAAACAGCTGTGACCATCGTGTATTTATTTTATCATTATTGTTTTCATTCTCTTTATATTACATTGTTTTATTTACTTCCAAATAATTATTTTGAAAATGAAACATTTTTGTAGATATCGAGGCTCAGTGGGACACAGAGGGACCCAGAAATCTAAGTGCCCTCTCTTGTCTTATACTGCGCACGCCTATGATGAAGCTGGTTTGTCTAACACGTTCAGGCAAAGTCCAAAAATGACAACTTACTGCAAGAGCTATGTCGACAGATTATTTTAGTCGCTTTTTATATGATTGCAAAATGTAGGAAAATGTGTATATAACTGGCACACTACGGCATACGATTTGGTTATTGTGAAAATACAATTTTATTTCAGAGAAAAATAAACTTTTCACTTCTAGAAAGTGTACCTACATAATACCTTTAGTACTGTGTAAGTACAGTAAAACCTTTTTAAGTCCTTGTAGAAAAAGGAAAAGCAACAAAGAAGAACCATCTCAACCCATTAAAAGAAAAACGACACATACACGTATTTTAACAATTAGCTCGCAATATCTAACAAATGACACTTGCCACCGAAAGGTTTTAGTGCTGCTCTCACCAGACCTTAAAGTTTGACTTCTGAACGTCAACAGAGATGTCCAGAATGACATCACAACTTTTGGAGGGAAAGAGTTGAATGGCATGTTCTTTTGTGCGCGTTTTGTAGAGTATTAGTAAGTTTTGGATTGGATTGTTCCGAGGTTTGTGTTTCATGTCCTTTTGTTTATCTACAGTACTATTTGCTTTTTTGGGTTTGTTTAGGTTATGCTTGCGTATCTGTTTTACAAATGTACATAAAGAAGCATTGTTCTCTTGGGCGTATTTTGGTATTCGTTTTTACAGAAATAGTCTTGGAAGTCCACAAAATGTTAATGGCATGTACATTTTATAAACCTGCGTTTGTTCAACTCGTTCAGGCTAAGCATGTAATTCATAACTTATTTATTGTGAGAACAATATCGAAACATTATTTTTAAGGGGTTGTTTATATTATTACAAAAAATAAAGAAAATCTCCATGGTTTGCAAGTGAAACATCTGAGAATGCCTGAAAAATGTTAAGACGTTTTTACTGAAATATACGAAGATGGCGGTACCTAAATAATTGACTATTGTAGACAATAAATAATCATCGAACATTTCTCGCTTTATATCAAAAATCCACTTCTGTCATATTTGTTCCGAGGTTTCTCTAATTTTACTTTCTGATTTTTGGAATGTGAGTAATGTTAATTTTTTATACCTCTAGTATACGGTGTTTTCTAAAAGTGATATCGTCTTTGTTGTGCACAACATGAGTATATAATATCACATTGGCAGCACTTGCAGTTATTTTTAAATAATTTAAAATTAGTCATGCTTTGGAAGTACGATGGCACTGCTAGCATATTGTTGCACTGGTTTCAGAGCAACCTGTTTGTGCGTTTTTCCAAGCAGCTGTAATCGGGTGCACCAGAATCGGAACCAGAAACCCAGAACTTGGAAGAGGCTTGTGAAGAAAACATTTGTTGTCAAAGGAAGCTGTCAGGATACTTGCGGACGTAGACCCTACCATTAAATCGTGCGTTTAATTTTAGCTGTAATCATCCAAAAAACATTTCGATGTGATATGGCAATGTGATTAATAAAATGATCTCATTTGAAAATAATTATTTTTTCCTCTGATGTACTCCTGCCATCTGCTGCAGACATAAGAATAGCCATAACTCATTTTTAAATATCAAGATATAACTTTTTATTACAAAAAGTATATTTTTTAGATAAATTAGTAATAACAATGTTCACAAACAAAAAAATAAAACTAATCAGCATTTCGTAGGGTCACTACCGCAAAAAAACAAACCCTTCAAATTAAATTATTTTAATGCAATTTCATGTCCCGCTTGGGAAGTTACATTTTTCTTATTGGGCGGATTTACAGCCATCTAACGGCGGACGTCTGTATGCAGCATTTGCAACCCTGCTTGGGCCCTCCCTTCAATGCGGCCCTGACATGGAGACGGTCTGTCCTCCAGAAGAGTACACGCGACAGCGAACACTGTGGAAGAGAGAAATCACTTCTTCGTTCATCTGCATTTCTTACATTATCACCTGGACTCTTCCTCCGACAGCTTTGGTGCTGTAAGTGACGAACATGGAGAATGAAGGTACGAGTATTAGAGAAAATGGAACACTGTTACGCTGTTGGACTGAGGACTACTGTTGGACAGTGACAAAAGACACTGAAAAGAAGTACAAGCGACGGCCAAACACGTTCACACAAATAAGTTCTTTTATTTGAGAATAATGAATCTATAAAACTAGGGGTTACACATACTAAACAATATCTAATGTCTAATTAATTATTCTAGACCCAAAATTATGGTACTTTGGCTCTAAAATACAAAATTCCGAAGTATATATTTTTTGTATTTCTACTTGAAATTAGTAGAGGAAAGTCAGGTGGTATCGTGCTATATTAGCTTTAAATAAGTTTTTTTAAAAAAATTTTTCTTAGTTAAAATTATTCGTTAAATACAGAATAAGAAACTTCAATATTTTACATATATACTCTATCAAATCTTTTTGGTTTGAAAGTAAAATAAGTATTTTTTTGAGGATAGTAAAAATGGTTGACAATTTACATGTCTGAAAAACAGAGGGTGGAATCGAACAACTAAAGAAATAATAGTAAAATACTTTTGATTATTAGGCTTGGCCGTTATCTCTCCTCATTTTACCAGTGTATACACCCGATTGCCTAGTGTGCCCTTGGATTCAGAATTTCTAGCACTAGTCTTTCTTATCGAAATTTCCTTTTAAAATTACCTTCACAATGGCTATCTTTATACTATTTCCTCCCACTTCTCGCGAATTTAATCCATATATTCCTTGAACGTCGTCAAAATCTACATTGTTATTCGAATATTACCCTCAACAACCTAAACACAAGAAATACGGAAAAATGATAAGACGAAGAAGTAACTTCCGGTGCCATCCGCTTCTACTTTGCCCGATACCACCCGAACGATCTTCAACCTTAAGAAGAATATAACACAGACATACATTCTGCAAACGACCTTGTTCTGCTGTAACGTAATAAATACACCGCAGTAAACATTCTAGTCACAGTACAAGATGTAGTAGAAGAAGAAGATAAAGTGGTTTCAAAGTTATCTTCGTACAATGGGCAAACACGTGTCGCATAAACCAAACTGCTTGATGTACTCACAAAATATGGCGTTTGCAAAGCTAATTAGTTTCCAGGAATACACTGAGAGTGTGGCACGTACTATCACCAGGGCCCAGTCCCGTACTGCACCAGTGCCCACTTTTGTCCGATCCCACCCGCTGTACGATATTACCCGACCTTCCCCTACATCTAAAAAACAAGAGCTAACAAAATAAAATTATTGTCATATCCGTTTTTCTCTACCACAATTCACTGTTGTTTTTCTGCTTTGAGAAAGGAAAGAATCCAAAGTGCATTTTATTGAACAGTAGGGATCCCGACCTGGCGAACTACGGGGGGGGGGGGTGAGAGCGTGGACAACGCTCCCTTCCATGACCCCGAGTTACGGATGATAAGGAGTTGATGCAGTGCCAGGCGAGGGGTTACACCTTCACTGATGCCCATGAGGGGGGAAAGTTAAACATTTCACCAGTTAAATATTTTAGTTTACAACCCACTTCGAGAAAGTACACCTAACAAAATCAAATAGTTATTTATATATCAAGGGTGAGCGCTGAGGGACAAAAAATCTAGTAACGTCTGTGCTGGATACAAAACTTTATGATTTACTAGTTCGTTGCTGGATCAAATGAGAATTCGAAGCATTTTACAACATTTCTTGCGTCCATTGTAATCATTATTTGTCAATATGACGTCAGATAAAACAAAATGTGTATCTAATTACTACTGCATACTCGTTGTTGGACCGGTTTGTTCGTACAAAATGAAAGAGTATTGTGACGTTCCTGCAGAAATTATCGCAGAAGCTAACAAAGCTTCAGACAGTGGTTTCCAATAATATCTCTAGAAATAAATGAAAAGGAGTATGATGTATTCGAGAGTTATATGGAAAATAATAAATTGCGCTGATGAAACGGTACTTTTAGTTTATTTACATCTATCCATCCTATTTTCCCTTCCATTACCAATAGGATAATGAGAATATAATTTTTCTCTATCTAGTACAAGAGGGAACTTCAGTCCCACGACTCAATATAACATTTCCAGAGGCAATGCTGCTGGTGCAAAATATTTTTATTGTAAAATTTGTTAGTGTGAATCTCAGGTAAATACGAAATAGATGTAAGAAAATTATCCTAATAAAGAAAGAGGCGCTACGGATTGGTCACTACTGATGTGTTGAAAATTTTGCGTTTCACGAGTGCCTGATAAATCTATCCAGTGGTTAAAGTATCCGGTAAATAATCTGGAGGTTCGAGGTACTATTAAATAACATAATTTGTGTGTGAACTTGATGTGATTTTCAAGGAACATCTGTGGTGTTTCCGTGAAGGACAACGTAATAGAGACGGTATACAACTAATTCTTTGAAGGTTTAGAGCGTCTGCCCAGACGACATGTCAGGCAGAATATTTTGAGATACTTGATGAACTACGGTTAGCCA